GGGCGGGGGGGGGGGGTGGAGTTTCGGTAGCGAAAATCGGAAAGACAAGTATCATACTCGAAAGACCTGGAAAAGCTAAAATGCAATGGAGTGGTTGTGATTGCTTATTGTTTTCACTGTTGTGGTTGCCATAGTCAATGTTGTCTCGCGATTCATACTGTATAAGCGGATGTGAGTGCCAATCACGTAAATTAAAGTCAAAAGCCATCATCAACAAGTTGCATGTGGTGGCAGAATAATAACAATAATAACACGATTGAGAAAACCAAGTGTAAACATCAGACCGGAGGTGAAGAACGGCATGTTGAATGAAAGCAATAGACGTGCCGAATAGAGGGGAGATGGGGAAGACTAGTGAGCTAGTGCGTGGTTGGTTGTCCCCACCAATTTGCTCCAAAAAGTAATGCTAACTGACAACTCGCATCAGATATCTTTTTCTGGGGGCGCGCAATCACCAACAGTCCCGTCGCCGCTGCTTGCTGTTCCATACAAAACTTCATGCAACAGATTCACATTAGGCGGAGTGGATGGGTGATAGAGCGGGTCACCACACTTCTCCAGAAGCATCTAAACCAAAGTAAGGGACCAAACTAACAAAGGAACATACCTCATCAAACAAGACACTATCAGGGGCAGTGATACCACAATCTTCAGTCAATGCCCCCAGATCGAGATCAGGTGCTGATTCCGAGTCAAAACTTGTAGTAGAGGAGGCTTGTCCGTCCACTCGATGTTTTTCCATATGTTCGATCAGATACGTACGGGAAGCATAAGTTCGCAGACAGATATAGCACGTGAGAAACCCGGGATCCGTGTGACGTAACATATGTGCTTTAAGCAAACTGAGACGCCTGAACAGTTGCTGACAGAATGAACACGAATAGACTGGCTTCTGCAGGTGGGATGCATGATGGCGTTCCAATTCACTAAGGAAACGAAACTTGCGACCGCAAACGGTGCAAGAAAACCCTTTCAAAACGAAATGTAATTAGTATTATTACTCACTGTATGGCTGAGCAGTATGTTGTTTTCGGTGGTTTTGTAGACTGCAAGCAAACAGAAAACCTCGTCCACAGGTGTCACATCTGAATGGTTTTGGTTTGTTGCTCAACTCCAGGTAAGCATGATGAGAATCCAAATGAAATTTAACATGACAACTTTGGGAAAACAGGGCACCACACAGCTTACACGAATGGGGGAGTTCGGCTGTGATAGAAGTGGTTAGGCGGAACCTTAAAACATATACCTACCATTATGAGTACGTTTGTGTATAGATAAAGCACCGGTACTAGAAAAGCTTTTTCCGCACATATCACATATCGGACGCGTGAAAGAAGAGTGTTGCCGAGATACATGACGTTGCAAATAGGATAGCCGGGCAAACGTCGAATGACAATAGGGGCAAATGTGGGAGCCCTTGCAACGAAGAACGTGGAGCCGGATCTTGTCAGATGGAAAATATTGACCACAAATCTTGCAAACAGCAACCAAACGCTCCTTGTGCTCATCAGCCAAATGGCAGACAAGGGCTGAGCGGGACAACGCGCTCTGATTACATAAAGGACATCTCAAGAATTCCTCTGACTCGGGAGCACCGGTAGTCGTGGCCGCATAAAGCGCAAACTCCTCGGGGCTGTCCGCCACCTGAGTAGATCCTTCCATATAAAGCTGAAAGACTGTATGGAACAGGTCACAGCCAATCACCTGGAGGAAGAAATAAAATCCCGATCAGTATCAAAAGATGGGGTCTATATGTGCACTTAATAACGACCAGCAATAAAAATAGTTTGGTGACGGTAAGAGACTAGGGCGTTCTTAATCGAGATCTCGTCCTGTAGGTGAAGACAGTCTTTGACAAAAAGCAGAGAAGTACTACACAGTTGTTTTGTCCTTACTGGGAATCATCATCTGATGGATTGCCAAGCGGTTGGAGCCCGCGTTCTCCAGGCCAGTAGTTGACCACGACTGACTGAGCAGCAGTGACCAAGTCGCGCATGCACAGGATATAGTGTCAATCATGCTTCAGTCACGGAATCCACATAATGCGGTCAAGTGTTGATCGTCAACAAATTAGGAGTAGTTCAGAAGGGGGAATAATTCACGAGTTGCACGAATTTCCCTTCCGACAAATCGTCAATTGAGGAGTCACTCAAGACATGGCCATGTGATGCGGATTCCGTGATTGGAGAACGAGTGGTGCTATAACCTGTACCGATGCCAGATGACCTCTGCTGAGCAACCGATCGTTGCTGGATGGTTTACTCTTCAAATAGTCTGCAAGACCACAGGATCCGATCGCCTTGCAACTTGAGATACACACTTCTGATTCTCAATGAAGTGAAACCGTTGTACAGTGCTTCTAGGGCTTTCGGCACAGACTGGCTTCATTTACATGACGAAATCTAAATTGAAATACATATTTATTCCTTATCCACATCACCTCCCATGCAGCTGAGACACCCAGGACTACTAGAACTACATGTTTGGAGATGTACTGCTGCTTGAAGAACACGCAAAAAGAGTAATTAACAAGTGTTGCACTATTGATTTACCCATCAAACTCCTGTGAAGGCGGACGTTTCCATCCCACACGTAAATGTCGAAATCCGAAGAGCAACGATTGCATTACAAAACGGAACGGAACTACTAGCCTCATGAGCAGAATAAACTTCACTATGGTGTGACAGTTTGTGAGCTCCCGTGATCCACTGAGCTATACTTCGGGGTAGCCGTGCGACAATCGCACCATACCAAGTTGGTCAATGGTTAGAGGTCTGACCAACAGAGTCCTGGCCTTCCAGGTTGGGGGTTGATAGATGTGTCGACTCGAGCCATAAAAATGGCAACATACAAGTATTTCACACCAAACACTACTGTCTTGAAGCTGGGCTTTTGAGACAAAGGCTTTGGTCGAGAGCTGTAAGCGTCATCCTGTTCAGGTGTTGGCGCCCACGCAGCATACCAGTCCACGTACGACCATGGACTGCACACCTACAAATAATCTTACGACAAATCAAACAAATCGCCTTAATCCCTGCGTACAGCATGGCGGGTGAGCGAAAAAAGACTTGTAGTAACAAGTTTGCTTTCACAAACTTTTTCCCCTCCCCGCCACACACTAAATGTTTTCCTGGTAGGCCCATCCGTTGGGACTGGAAACCGCGTTCAACTACCAACGGTTTTGGCCGAACAATTGCTTCAGCTATGTGCTAACCGCAGCCCGTTTTCGTGCAGTACTAACTTCTGAAATAACCGAATTCGTCTGGCCACATGGTGTCCTCGAACAACGGCCAGCTGCGAACTAAAATTTGATCATATTGCCATCAGATGGCGGGGATCAATAACTGCCTACCGCTCGTTTTGTGGATTCCGACCACGCGCTCGTCCGGGGCCGCTTCACCCTTCGGTCCCCAAAACCACGTAAGGTGAGGGAAATTTGTTTAACAACTGAAAGATTCGCAGATCCCGACGTTGAATGAATTTAACAGAACCGTCTTCTGCAGTCTCTTTCTACTGCTTCGCCGTCCGATAAAAATTAATTAGGGAACGAGAACGCCACATATTTTCAGTGCTTGGACTTTTTGCCTGTGGCACAGCGCTACCAGGCCCTCCCGAACGATATCACATAGATCAGTGGCGCTGCTTGAATCTCGGAGAAATGTCACCGCCGGTCCCGAACAATATGGTACGACGAATCATCAGACGCCAGGTGAAAGTGAGCGTGCACACAGGCCGTGAAGCCTGGTGGACACGGAAATCTAAGAAAATGGAAGAAAACTGGGGATGTCTGAAGATCCAGTGGATGCATGCAACCAGCTCCCGGAAACCATCAAGAATCAAAGTGGCGCCACTATCATGAATAGAAAACACTTCGATCGCAAAGCCGAATAGTGCAAACAATTCTCGTGGCCAACCGCTGCCACTCATTTGGATCTCACAGCTGAAGCAGAGCTCTGGACGGTGAACCTGGAGGCCCCTACGACCTCGGAGGTTAATGACTGTTGACTGTTCTCTCAAGCGCCATGGGCGAGACGGATCGGTGGTTAGAGCGTGAATTTATTGTCCGGAACGTCCGTAGTTCGAATCAGACCTCTGTATCTCGATTTCCCGTCTAGGCTTGGGCAACCTGACAATATCCCGGCCATCGTGCTTCCATCTGGTGGCATGACAGTTAAGCACTGAACGGGTGCTGCGGCTGACCGATTTATTTTGTCTTCAGGCTATCAGACCTCTCTCGATTTCCCGTCTAGGCTTGGGCAACCTGACAATATCCCGGCCATCGTGCTTCCATCTGGTGGCATGACAGTTAAGCACTGAACGGGTGCTGCGGCTGACCGATTTATTTTGTCTTCAGGCTTCTGGTCTGACCTCCCACCTGTGTTCTTCAACGATGGGGGTGAAGTCCTCAGTCAGCGCGTGTGATCTGCCTGTCTGCATCTGGAACAAAGGAGACTACCCCAAACAACCGGGGAGAATGGGCGATGCTGCCCATTTTCAAAAACGGGGCTCGCAGTGAGTGTGGTAATCAAAGGATGGTCAGCTTGATCGTAATGTGACGGTCGTAACATCACTCCTACTTCGCCACCTGGTGTACTGAATATGAACTGCTTCTGGCCGGTACGAACTTTCGGCGTAAACGTTAGCATCACGTAACCCGGCGACCGTTAACTACAAATGAACTAGCGTCCCAGTTGGATCACGTGGCCACCAGCCGCCGATGGGGAGACACTATTCAAGAGTGCTGTCCCTTCTGGGACACAATTTAATTCCAATCACATCATGGTGCATGCGCACCTGACAGTTCATTTCCCTTCAGGCCCTCGCAAGTCGGCAAGAAGCATGCCAATCTTCGACGAACTACCACAGCCCAACAGAATCGGTCTGAACCAGCTGAACAACTCTTCACAGTAAAACAAAACTGTGGTGGTAGTGAGCACATGGATAAAGCATGGCAAAATGGGAAATAAGCTATACTAGCGGCGTTCAATGCTGTCTACCCGTCTTCTCCTAAAGAATCAGGTGACCACTGGATACAGTCGTGATCGCTAATCTTGACTGATGACAGGAAATCGGTACCAGCAAGCAACGAGTATGACGGCGCGCACAAATCCCTCAAGGTCCTAGGAAAGACGGTAGCCCTGGCGGACACCGAAAGCTCGAGAAATGTAGAGAAAAAGCTACCGGAAACAGCCATGCCCTGTATTAATTGATATGACCGACTGGCCCTAGGAAGGAAGCGGTCAATGACATAACAAGTGAAGATTCACTCGCAAAAAATCGATTGGAAAGATGGACCGAACAGTTTAGCTGCCCCCCTGCAACACAACTTCTGGAAATAGTGCATACGAGGAAATGGAATGTAAACCTTAACCGTCTGTCGAGAGAAGAAATAAAGCATGAGTGTCGGTACTGAAACGCGAGAACGCACCAGAAACGGACAGTTTGTATTCAGCCCTCTTCAAAGAAGGCGAGGATTCCGTGGTGACCCGTCTAACAAAGCTTATTGGTGCATTCTGCCCCTGCAGAATGGGGCAAGTCTTCAAAAAGGGCGTGCAAACGCTGCGCGAAAACCACTGTGGCATTGGCCTGGTATTTGTGGCATCGAATTTGCTCTCTAGTCTTATCCTTCGAAGGTTGACTGAACACAGCGGAAGATAGGTCCGTGAAAACCGAACTGGGTTCTATTCTGCAAGGGGATGCATCGATAACATTTTTACCCTCCGAGGGATTTTGGAACAAAATCACTGCCTCCAGTGACCAAGATTGGTGATCCTCCTTTACTTGAAAGCTGCCTTTGACTCTGTGGGCCGTCAGGCACAACGGCGGTGTCTATGGAGCAAAGGTGTCCCCATATATTCTTTGTTATATACTGACGCTGTGTTTAACTTTTTTACTCGCTATTCGTTGAGCTAATTGTGTTTCCTAATGTTTTAGCTGATGTACTGAAATTGATAGAAGATTAAAGCCAATCATTCGGCAATCCTCGTTCTCTGTTTCTGGCACAATCATTCGAGTGCGCAACAATTTATTCTATCAGAATACAATGGAACGATTGTTTCGCCCAGATTGACGCCGATATCCTCTTCTGCTTCAGAACAATGGATCCATTGGCACGAAACGTTTACGAACTTCCTCTCATGCATCGAACTCCCAAACGAAACGTTAAGAAAACTTTTGGTAAATTTCCTTTCCCCGTCCGTCTATCAACATGTTTGTGATTGTACTACTTACGAAGACGCCATCCAGACGCTCGAAAAGATGTACATTAAACCCAAAAATGAAGTGTTTTCCCGCCACGTGCTGGCTACTACCAAACAAGAACCGGGCCAATTAGTCGACGGGTTCCTGCAAAAATTACGTTACCTTGCCAAGGACTGCAATTTTCGTGCGGTTTCTACCGATGAACATCGGGATGAGGCTATTCGAGACGCTTTTATCACAGGCTTGCAGTCTAATTCCGTTCGCCAACGACTACTAGAAAAACACACTCTTAAGCTTCAACAAGCTTTTGACGAGGCACGTCTGCTTGAACATGCTCAACAACAGTCACTCTCATACGACTCGTCTTCTCATGTTCCCTGTGGCGCCGCATCTATCAAAACTGATAAACCTCTTACTCCTGTTCGTGATGCTTTTATCTCTCAGATGGAATCTAGTGACACGATTGCAAGCACATCCTTATCTTGCTT